GCCATTCTTCGCAGAGGACGTTGGTGTCCCAAGTGGTTCATGGAGACTGTGCAACACTGCTATCATGGATCCCTCTGAGGTTTAAAACTATTTAGGGGGCTGGAGAGATAGCTCAGTGGTTAAGAGCATGGACTGCTCTTGCAGTTTGGTGCCTGGTACCCGGATCAGATGGCACACAACTGGATACGCCTTGACTTCCAGGAGATCCACCTCCTTCTTCTGGCCTCTGAGGCTACCTGCAGTCACATGCATGTACCTACACACAAGTCCCACACATGCACATACATAAAAATAAAATAAACCATTATAAAATAGATAAAATATTCTGATCCACTCCTATAATTCCAGCACTTGGGAGTCTGAAGCAGGAGGACCAGTAGGAGGCCAGCCTGGGCTACATCCTAAAACTCTGTCTAAAAATCCAGGTTGTTTTTCCAAGACGAATGGACAGGTGGCATAGGAGAAAATCCCCGCAGTCCCACCAGTTAAACTCAGCAATTCTTTTGGTATTTTTTTTTTCCTTCTACACTGCCAAGTGGCAGAGGTGAATTTTTAAGTTGACCCCTTATTCCTCCTGTTTCAACCAAGAAAACCTTGATGGTTTAGCTTGCTTCTGGGATCCATGAATGCAGACAGGTTTGGCCCCAGCATGTCAGCAATTCCAGAAGCCATCGAACTGGGGCCCAATATAGTCATCACATGAGACTGGGGAGGGGACAGCCAGACTGTACCCTCCACCCCAGCACCTACCACCAGCGTTATGATTTTACCTTTCTCATGTAGGCTATGATCTGTATCTAATTAATTTGAGAGTATGCTATGAGCTCATTTCTTCAGGTTCATTTTTTTCTCCACATGGATATTTAATTGCTCCAGCTATATTTATTGAAAAGATCATCCATTCCCACCATATTGCAATGTCACCTTTGCCATAAATCAAGTGACCTCATCTGAGTGGCTCTATTTCTGGATTCCTGCTTCTGTCTGTGCCTTGCTCTGTTTGTCAACCCTTGTGCTGTTTCTACGGCATATTAATTACTGTAGCTTTATGATAAATCCCAATATATATTTAGTATAGTCCTCCAACTTTGTTCTCTCAGGCTGCTGAGGCTATTCCTGGTTCTCTGTTTCCTGCACATTTTAGAATCAGTGTGTCAGTTTCTGCCACAAGAAATATGCTGAGCCTGAAATAAGTCTGTAGGTTGATCTGGGAGTAACTGACATCTTCACAGTGTGAAATCTTCAAAATATGAACAGTCTTTAATATCTCTAATGTTTTATGGCTTTCAATGAGAAAAAGATTTATCCCTGGATGCTTGCTATTTTTAATGTGAAATGATAAATAGTGTCATTTCCTTTCTCTTAAAAAACGTATCTTTAACCTATTTTGCATGTGTATGTGTGCTGCACAGATGTAAGTGCACCACGTACATGCAGGAGGCTGCAGAGGTCAAACGAGGGTGTCAGATCCCCTGGAACTAGAGCTCCAGGTGGCTGTGGGCTGCCATGTGGGTGCTGGGAACCAAACCCAGGTCCAGGTCCTCTGCAAGAGCAGCAATTTTTGTTTTGTTTTTCAAGACAGGGTTTCTTTGTGCAGCCCTGGCTGTCCTGGAATTCACTCTATAGACCAAGCTGGCCTTGAACTCACAGAGATCCACAGAGATCCGACTGCCTCTGCCTCCCGAGTGCTGGGATTAAAGGCGTGCGCCACCATTACCCAGCTCAGTAATCACTTTTAACCATTGAGTCATCTCTCCAGAACCACCACCTCCTCCTCCTCCTCCTCCTCCACCACCACCTCCTCCTCCTCCTCCTCCTCCTTCTCCTCCTTCTCCTCCTCCTCAAGACAGGCTATCTAGCCCAGGCTGGCCTCAAACTCACTATGTAGTGCATGCTAGCCTTGAATTCCTGATCCTCTGGTCTAATCTGGGATTATAGGTGTGAGCTGCTACGCCCAGCTCTGTTTCATTTTATATTGAAATTCAATGAACTTTTATTTATGTTGACCTTGAGTTGAGGACTTTCTAAATTGATTTGGTTGTTGCAGACTCTTCTGGTCTTTCTACTTTCACAAACACCCTGTCCCAAGCACAGCTGGCCTGACCACGTTTCGGAGGAGTCTTAGTGGCCTTCCTTTAAGTCCCAGGTTTCTCATTGTTTAAATGATTAGCTGATCTGAATCTCTATTTCCTACCCAAAGGTCCATTGACTGCTTCTGCCAGCCTCCAGCCTCCACCATCCCTTGGGTGCTGGTCTTTCTCCTCGTGTCTCTCCGCTGATCTAGAGAGATCTTGTCAGGGAATGGCTGGTAGGGTGAACACCGCCACCTTCCCTCCCGATGAATCCTATTCGAGAGCCAAGAGCTGATCTATTGGTTGGCATGGGGGAGTTGCAGAAATCAGAGTTCTTGGAGGAAGGCCTCAGCCAGTTCCTTTGTGGCTCTGGATGGTATTTTCACCTCTAGAAAACTTCACAGCCATGGAGGAAGCAAGTGGGTCTGTGTCTTAGTTAGAGGTTGTATTGTTGTGGTCAAACACCATGACCAAAAGCAAGTTGGGGAGGAAAGGGTTTATTCAATAGCTTCCACTTCCGGGTAACGGTCTGTCACTGAGGGAAGTCAGGACAAGAACTCAAACATCTGGAACCTGGAGGCAGGCGCTGATGCAGAGGCCATGGAGAGGTGCTCCTCATGGCTTGCCCAGGCTGCTTTCTTATAGAACCCAGGACCACCAGCCCAGGGATGGCGCCACCCACCATGGGCTGGGCCCTCCCCCATCAATCACTGATTAAGAAAATGCCCTACGGCCAGATCTTATGGAGATCATTGTCTCAGTCGAGGATCCCTCCTTTCAGATGGCTCTAGCTTGTGTCACGTTTACATAAAACTAGCCTGAAGAGTCCAGGAGAGAGGGTCTGCTGAGGGGCTGTGGGGATTGGCTTGCTGGCCGAAACAAGAGGCAGGGGCCAAAGCAGTCCAAAGCGGCTGCACTGTGGAGACGTGAGGTACAGTGTCTGGGTCCCAGAACCCAGAGCTTTAGTCATGACTCCTTGAGAAGTAAATGAGAGAGGAAAGGAGTTTGACATCACTCCCAGACCCAAATCTACCCAAGTACCGGTGTCTGAAGACCCCAAGCTCAGGGACGAGGGGAGAGAGAACACAGCTAGACAGATGGCCAGCATCTCTGGGAGTCTGTTACTCTGCACTCCCTAGCCTTGTGAGCCATCTTCACAGACACACCGCTGGACAGATAGGAACACAGAGGCTCAAGTTGCTTGGGTAACTTGTTCCAAGTCACTCCTATTTAGGGAAGAGTTTCTCTATAACTGCAACTCAACGCTGCATTTCAGTCCTCGGTCTGTAAGAGTCCTGGACACTGACTCTGCCCTTAAGGAGGGTTAGAGGGACTGATCTTCTAAAGGTATGCCATGGACTCCACTGTCTTACACATGGCGAGTTCCTGCTGAGGAAATGGTGGTCCTGCCACCTTTTCCAGTGGTACCTATTGCGTGGACATCCTCTCCAGAACCTACCAAAGTGGTGGGGGAAATTCTGTTTCTGGAGCAAGAGCAGTCAGAGACCACCGCAATGACCCTGCATGCCAACTCTTCAGCTGGAGGAGGGATCCAGGCATTCATGTGGAGAAACAGGAGAGGCTGTGTAAGACAGTGTATTTGCAGTCCTAGCTACTGCAGAGACGGAGGCAGAGGGATACCCCTCTCGGAAACACAGAGACAGAGGCACACTGATTCATTTCCTTTCTGAAATGTTTTGAGCTACTTCATATTCAAAGACTCAAGTGTCGTTCATCAATATACTGATGCCGGCCTGGGACTCTCTAGGACTGACTAGACACCTTTGGAAACCCCTCTGCCCTCCAGGTTCCCAGTTTCCCCCTCTCAGGTCTAGTCATATTATCCTTTCCAAGCCCACGTCATTCCCATTGCCAGAGCTCAGTAAAGCCTCATGCAAGATCAGCAAGGTGTGGGTTGCAGGCTAGACCACAAGAGACATTTTGTGCAGTGTCCCAGAATAGGATTAAAATCCACAGGAAATGGGTAAGTGGGACTCTGTCTTTTCTGGAGAACTTGACCTGTAAGGTAGCTACCCTAGCCCTACCCAAGGCTGACCTTTTGGCTCCACCCTTCCCAGAATTAGGGCAAAGTGCATGTTCATGAGGAGGGCCCTTCTGGAGTGGCCAAGTGGTATGATACCCTCTCAGCCTGGGCAACAGTACTGCAGACTGACTGGTTGGCTCCTTGTTAATGTATGTCGCTTTAACAGGCTTCCTGTTCTTCAGGCAGCAACAAACACGAGTTGAATGTGACAAAATGTTTAACATATCATTTGCTTCAGTTTGCTAGTTTTTTCACATTTACGGAGTCGGGGAGGGGGCAGTTTAAACAAGGTCTTATTTTATAGTCCAAGCTAGCCTCAAACTCACAGCAATCCCCCTGCCATAGCTTCCCAAGAGCCGGGATTACAACCATGTAACACTGTGCCCAGCTCACGTTTATGCTCTTCAGTGAGACTGGTTGAGATTCTCCTTTTCTTGTATTCTTAGTTGGCTGAGAGTCAAGGTCACACTTGCTTCACAGAATAAGTCTGCCCGCCTCCTACCCATCTGCCCTTCTTTTTGTCATTCTTTGACATGGATTGATGTTTGTAATGGGCTTTGGGTTTTAAAAAACACTCCTTGGCAGGCGACTCGGCACAAACAAGAAGGCAGACACCTCTTTTCCTTGCTTGTAGTCTGTGTTGGCTTATTTATTTATTTATGTATTTATTTATTTAATTTTGTATTTGCGGTACTTCTGTCGTTTTCTAAAACTGTTCTGCTGGGAGCCAGCCATTTCCCTGAGGACGTCTGGAAGACAGTGGGGGGATCTCCAGGGACAGAGAAGTTACGCTGAGGGAGAGACACAGGCTTGAGCCTATACCCAGCGCCCACTGAGCCATCCCAGGGTCCCTGGGACCAGCTCAACTGACCCTCCTCTTACAGGCACCATGTTCCGCAAGAAAAAGAAGAAACGCCCCGAGATATCTGCCCCACAGAACTTCCAGCACCGTGTCCACACCTCCTTTGACCCCAAGGAAGGCAAGTTCGTGGGCCTCCCCCCACAATGGCAGAACATCCTGGACACCTTGAGGCGGCCCAAGCCCGTGGTGGATCCTTCTCGAATCACGAGGGTGCAGTTGCAGCCCATGAAGGTAAGGGGACAGGCTTATAGCCGTGTTCGGCCTCTCCCACTCCACAGGAAGAGAAACCCCAGAGGCACCTGGAGGGGCCACTTGGGTATCAGAATCAAGTCTGCCATCTCTGTCCTCTGCTAGTCAGCTTTTCTACCTGGGGAGAATTTTAAGCCAGGTGTGGAGGCTTTTGATTATAAATAAGCCCAGCACTTGACAGACTGAGGCAGTCGTGTGGCAATGAGTTGGAGGTCAGCCTGAGCTACAGGGTGAGGCCCTGTCTTGAAAAAACACCCTCAAGCCCACCAAAACTAATTAATTCGAATTTCAGTTAACAACAACAACCTTTAAGAATGTCTCATCCACCATTTAGACCTGTGACCCCAGAGGAGTTGCAGCTGTCCCAGACCAGAGGTCACATGGGAGATTTAAGAGTTGGGTAGGAGTTGGGATCAGGAGCCCAGTCGTAAGGTGGGATGTGGGGGGTGGGGGAGGCCCCAGAACCGGTGTTCTCAGACATCTCTCTGGAGACCATGGCAAGAGCTCGAGCCTGAAGTGCCTCTCCTGAGTTCTCCAGCTTCCTAGACTCGCCTGGCCACCCACTTTTCCTCCTGGCCCGACCCGTAGCTACCTACCCGTCTGTCCTGCTGACAAGGGCTTTCTCCCTGCATCCTTATAGGCTGCACAGCATGGGCCTCACCCACTGTGAACAAATGTCTGGAAACCTAATGGATGGGTGGGGTGATAACGGAGGTGTGTGGGTACCAGGTATTCCTCCCCAAGGCCCTCGGGGAGGCTCTGAGCTACCCTCTGCCATGAAGGGGCTGCCTCCCCACACTCTTGTGTCTTCCGCAGACGGTGGTACGCGGCAGCTCAGTGCCCACGGAGGGCTACATCTCAGGGCTGCTCAACGACATCCAGAAGTTGTCAGCCATCAGCTCCAATACCCTGCGTGGACGCAGCCCCACCAGCCGGCGGCGGGCACAGTCCCTGGGCCTGCTGGGCGATGAGCAGTGGGCTGCCGACCCAGATATGTACCTCCAAAGTCCTCCGTCGGAGCGCACTGATCCCCACGGCCTCTACCTCAGCTGCAATGGGGGCACACCAGCAGGCCACAGGCAGATGCCATGGCCGGAGCCACAGAGCCCACAGGCCCTGCCCAATGGGCTGGCTGCCAAGGCCCAGTCCCTGGGCCCTGCGGAGTTCCAGGGGGGCTCGCAGCGCTGCCTGCAGCTGGGGGCCTGCCTGCAGAGCTCCCCACCTGGCACCTCACCCCCTGTGGCCACAGGGAGGCGTGGAGTGAAGGCTGCCAAGCACAGCGCCTCGGAGGAGGCCCGGCCACAGTCCTGCCTGGTGGGCTCAGCCGGCGTCGGCAGGCCTGGTGGAGAAGGCAGCCCCAGCCCTAAGAACCAGGAGAGCGGCCTCAAGCACCGGCTCTTCCGAAGCATGTTCCTGTCCACCCCCGCCGCCGCCGCCGCCGCCGCCACCGCCGGCTCTGCAAGCAGCAGCAAGCCGGTCCCTCTGCCACAGAACAAGGTACGTCCTCTGGGTCTTCCTCCTGGGGTCACTCCAAGGAGGACAAGGAAGCATGCCTAGCAGACTGCTACAGGGCACTAAGTACCAGAGATGCCAAGCCTGCCTGGCCCTCCCCAATACTGGGTCAGGAGAAGAACGTGAGAAATCAAAATGGCCATCTAACCAGCGTGGCCTCGGCTAACTACTGTAGCCTGACTTCACCATCCGAGTCCGTGTCTTCCAAAGGCTTAGCATGTGTGAGTCCAGGCTGCACGCCCAGTCATTTCAGGTGGAGCGGAAACCTGTGACTGACATTCCTATCCTCTGAGGCCCGGCAGTCCACTGGGAGGATCCTTCTTGAAAAGCATTTTTAGCCAAAAGCTCGGGCCAGAACCTCAAGACCACAGCAGGGATGTGTGCACCCTGGCCTGGGGAGGGCAGGGTCTCTCTGCCTCCCTGTTTTGGGAGCACCGTGGAGCCCCCTGCTTCCCTGAGGACTGCAGGGGGATTCTGGATAGAGCTGCCTACAGCGACCGCCCCTTTCACCCCCCCTGTTCCCCCCATAGCTCTTTCTTCTCCAGTGTCTTACAGAAAGACCAAAGGGTCAAAGAAGAAGCCAGCTCCAGTTCCCGCTTCCACAGTGGTGAATCAGGCTCCGGTTCCCACTTCCACAGTGGTGAATCAGGCTC